CCTGAAAAACAAGCAACACCACCATAGCCATATAAATTGTTAGTGCCTTCAAGTCCAATACCTAAAAACCAACTAAAAGAACACTGTGCACTCAACCTCCATCTTTCCACTGCCTTCGAGCAAAGGAGGAACTTCTACATTCACAGGAACAGGAGTGATTTTGCTCATTCCCTTGGCACCAACTCCTTGTTTCTTCAGAAAAGCTAAGGAGTAGGAAAAAAAACATACCATTCAATGAAGTTAGCCATAAAAACATGTTATCTGTAACTTATTAAGTGGCCATAACTCATACCGGCTACTTTTCCTCTTCCCTCCTCAACACTAGGAGGTTTTGACCCTACCGGCCATGAATCAAAATTTGACTTGAATGAATTACTTTCATATCCTTGGATGACACGGGTTATACGAGCTGTTTGTACTCTATTCTCCCTAGTGACAAAATCCTGGAGATAAAAGTTAAGAAACGAGAATTAACATTCTTTAAATACATAAATCATGAAGAAATCGAAGCCTCTAGGCTCTAGTTCTACCTCAACAACTTGACTGGCAGTTTTCCTGTCGTCTATGTGTGTCGCCCGTCCAACCCAAACAAAAACCTCAGCACCACAGTCTAGTAGATAGCATTTTTTGTTCTCCAAAAGGTCTTTTAATAGTTTGCCTTCAACAGGCTTCAGCTCACCGTCAGTTATGCTAAAGGAACCCATGATTCCAGTTTAGCAATTAATAAAGACATATACCTTTTTAGACATGACAAAATCGTCATGTCCCTACTAGTAAAGAAAACAAAAGACACACTTATGGAATTACCTATAAAGTTTAGCAGGAGCAGTACCAGGAATATTATCATCTTCACTGGTAACCTTCTTGCCTAATGGAGCAAAACCACCAAAGAAGACCCAGAACTCATCAGAGTTGGATTCGGAGCCCAATTTCCCATCATCTGGCAAGGTGATTATATTTATGCACATAGAAGTGAGAAGTAGAAAAGCTGAAGAAACAACATTGTTTATATTGTGAATGCATGGATCCTCACCAACAATTGAAACATCACACTTTTCATCGTGATACTTTTCCTTTAAAAACCGAGTAACTTCTAATGCCTTTGCCCTTTCCTGGATATCAGAATTTGCACCATTGAACTGATAAATCTTGTTTTGAGTGTCCAGGATAAATACATCGTCATGATTCAGTGAAGACCGATCAAACCGAACCTGAAACATCATAATAGAAAATGGTATTTCCCCAGATGTACAATAGTTACATATAAATGTGTTTCAAACTTAGTAAAGAGCTTCATCTACCTGTTTCAATTTCACAACTCGCTTTCCTCTGCAGACGTATAAACGTGTCTCTAACTCTCCTTCTTCGGGTTCTTTAATTCCAGAAGCAATGCCACCCTCCAGTGGTATAAGGCAAGGTTTAAAGTAGGACAAAAATTGGTCAGATTCATGACCTTGAAGTTCCCTGTGCTGCACGGCACGCCCTCCTAATACTGCATCTAGCTCAATGGCTTTAATAGCAGCTGTTCCAGCTTCATCCTGCATGTTCCAACACCATCTCAAATGATTTTATAGTTCATTTGGAAGAAAATTTAAATCCTCAAAAAAGTTAAAGTAGAAGAAAATGAAGCAAAAGCACACCTGACTGGTATCTTTACCGATCCAGAAGTGTATATCATACAGATTTGAACCGCCTTTGCCCGCTGTTGTCTACAAATATATAAATATATATATTTGTATATATAGATGCAAATTAAAAATAAAATGTGAATCCATACAAGAGTGGCACCTGTAAGACAATGTAAGAATCGCCCATGTAGAATTTTCCATAGTCAGACTTTGGCAAAGGAACTGGCTGCAAATTCTCAATACGCCAAATTTCAGTCCCACTAGAAGATGTCAAGGAAAACAGCCTTAAAGTGAAAAAAAATTATTAGGACATATATGCAACATAAGCACACATCTTAAAATGAAACAAGAGCATTTGCATTATCCTTTTTCTTTCTGTGATTGGACAAAACTTAGTGACTGATTCCAGTCTCTCTTTTCGATAAAAAAAATCCAATACACCTATATAATGAAAAAGTTAAAAGGAAAAAAGGTTAATAACATCACAACTTATATGCCCTTTATTTTAAGGATACGGTTTCTGACCCGCTCCATGAAATGCAGGATCCAGAAGTTTTACAGAGCTAGACATTTCTTGGAGTTTTCCTTGTCACTGTTTCTTAAGCAAAAACTCAACTTTAGAATCCAACCTTTGGCATTATGGAAGTAAAAAACTTACAAGAGATAATACAGGTACCAGGTCATGCAAGGACAATTAATTTAGAGGACAATGCCTAAAAATATGTTCCTATTTTCGAAAATCGTTATATAAGCAGAAAACGAAAGATGTGAGTCTAGTACTCAGTAAAAAAGAAAAAAAAAATAGTTTGGCTTTCAATAACAGCATCAATTCAAAAAGAAGTCCCGGCTTTAACAATCTTCAGCAAAAGAAATTTCACACAAACCGCACGATAATTTCATTAGAACCATGGACTTTCTAAAGTTATTAATGAGTGCATTGCATGAAGGTGAGAAAACAAATTGCAAATATAAATTGCAGCTTTTCAGCTTGAATGAAGGTGAGCAATGTATTATGTCCATGCGTCTAACAATGCAGAATCCAAAACATCAAGATGATGTTCCCATAATCAACAATCTAATCAGCATTCTTCATTAAAGCAAAAATAATCATCTTACCCTATATGCACAGATTTTCCGACGCTACATGATCCTATAGTCATATTCCTCATGCCAAAAAATAAAACAAACTCCTGTTCTTTAAACAATCATCCATCATTTTCATACTAAAAATCTAAAATAAGAAAGGACAACTTACCCCAAAATGGCCTAGTCTCAAAAGTTTGCTTGCAATTGTTCCAAGCCCTTAGAGAATAACCACTTCAATCTTTCTCAAAACACGGGGGCATCCTATAAAAACTCGTAATGAACGCTCCGAGTGAAGCAATGTACTGTTCGATTTGATCACACAAATAAATTGAAGTTTGCAAGGCAACAAAGGATTTTTAGAGCTGGCCCCATAGAGCCATTCGTCTTAGCATCATTTAACATGATCAATCACGGGAATTAAAATCAAGAAAAAAAGTAAATCACATTAAAATGAAGGCAAAATCAAGCATACCCAGAACAACAAACATCAAATCAAACATGAACAACATGAAGAACCGAATGAATAATAAATTGAAAAACAAAAATATCATACCACTGACACCTCCTCCGAAGCTTATGAAAAAATGAGAAAGATCTTTGGGTTTGAGGAAGAGAAGGGAAAGAACCAAACAGAGCTGGCAAATTAAAAGGTGGGAACGAAAAGGAAATAAACTTCGAAAAATAAACGTGGATTATATAGCACTGGTTAATGTCGGGTGAGTGCTTCTCTTTCTAACTGTTATCTAATTATTATTGCTTTTTTTGGAGTTTTTCCCGAGATTATTGAATTAGGAAACGGAAAAATGATTGAATGGACTATGATGGTTAAGACAGGTAACGAGTAACTTGGGTTACCGTTTGGATGGTGGGAAAATACTTTGAGAGGCAGAGGCAAAGCCGCTATTTTAGGCAAAAACAAATGTCATGCGACGATGACACTAGTCCTTTTATAGTTTATGCTTGTCTTATGATGGAGCTAAATTTATTCTAATATAAGTTTAGATTTATTTTAGAGTAAAGTATATAAATGATTTCGATTATATGCTTTTGTTTTGTTAAGTCATTGGACTATTAAATGTTATGAAATGATCATTTGATTATAAAACATTGTTTTGTTGAGTTCTTTATCTATTAAAAGTTACAAAATTTTTACGTAGCTATTAATATGTTTTAAACTCATCATTTTCTATTAAAAATTAACGGTAATCTAAGCTGGATTTTAACCTGTTGATTATAATATGATAAAATCTGATCCCAAAATCTTAACAAATTATCATATCTTAATCAATAGGTTAATGTTTAGCTCAGTCCGTCATTAATCTTTTAACGAAAAAGAATGCGTTTGGAACATATGAATAGTTAGGTGAATTTTAATAGTCGATGGACTCAACAAAATAACGTCCTATGCTCGAAAGACTATTTTATAATTTTTAATTGCCAAAAGACTCAACAAAGTAACATCTTTTAGTAAGGGACCATTTATACACTTTACTATTTATTTTAATATTTAATTTCTTAATAATTAAGCGAATTATTAACAACTTAATAGTTCATATTCAATTTGATAAAGTGTTTAAATTTTAAGGATTTAAAATGTTTTGTATCATGTCATGTCTCCATTTAGGTGAAGTCAACGATAAAATTTAACATAGGAGTATGAACATAGAAACAAAACGTAATTTTATATATGATTTAAAAAATAATTGAATAATTAATATAAAAAATAATTTAATATCTTTTAAATTTTTTTGCAAGTATTATAAATGAAAAAAATATCGAGAAAATTCAATTCTCATTTAAGAATCTAACTCTACTAGATTTTATAACCTATAATATTCGGGAAGTTCTACAGTGCGACAGTTTTAATATACGGTTAAGGAAAGACGTTATTTGTTTTGTTATTATTTTTTAAAAAAATCAGTAAAAATTACCTAAAACATTATTATTTCTACCTAAAACATTAATATTTTTTAATATTTCCGGTAAAGTGTCCAATAATAACAAAACTGATAGAAAAATAATTTTTATGTAGCGCTTTACCGGATATGTTAATAAAACCGGTAAAGCGTCCAATAATAACAAAACTGGTAAAAATAATAATATTTTCGGTAATTTTTTTACCAATTTTATTAAAAAAATAATAACAAAACCGATAACGTTTTTCCTTAATCGTATATTAAGACTGTCACACGTCAAAATTTCTCATAATTTTCTTTTTGACACGGCGAGCCCAAAGTGGCCTGAAGCGCAAATAATCATTAAAGCCAGCCCGCCAATTTTCAAACAATGGCTACGTTTCCATCTCCTCTAGAGCGAACAGTGGCTTCGGCTCTTCTCGTCCTTTCCACTCAGCCTCCCAAGTAAGTTCAAAAGAAAAAGAAATTTCAAATTATCGATCGATTGTTTTTCGAATTTCATTTCAATTGATGATAGCCTTTTTCTGTTCTTTTGCGTTTTTTGAAAGGTTGATGATCGGTTGTTGTGATGGCGAGACGAAAGGAAAAACAAACATATTGATCTCTTCGACAGAATCCGAATCCTGCGGTTCCTCTCTCACTACTCATCAGTCGTCCTCTCGGAAGCAGCGGAAGATGCTAAGGATCATCGCTGCTGTGGCTCGCTGCCATGAGTTCAAGCTCAAGGTTCCCTTGCCTTACTCTGTTTCTCCTCTTTACGCGGCGTTTTGTTTGTTTTTCGTCAATTTCGTTAGTGTTTATTACCTTCTTCAATTGATCAACACTCTGTTTGGAATAGTGTTTGGATGATATTTGATATGCAGGATCTGACTGTTATTTCTTACATCTAATACGCAATGATTTAGCATGGATTTTTGTGGTACGATCATTCACTCTGAGTTAATAATTCAAAATTTCAACCAAGTCGGATCGATCGCCGACTTCTCCGAACTTGTTCCGATTCAAAACTCGAGCTGCTTTACTTTCTTCGAAGTTTACGTTAACTTTCCTCCTTATGCAATCTGCAAACCAGATAGCTTCATAGCAATTAATTACTTCTAATTTTTTTTCTCTGAGCATCGAAGCAAGCCTTGTAGATGATTCCTTTTATAATTCTTTGATTGCAATCTTATTCGAATTACATTTGATTATGTGCCTTTGATTTATGTTTTCTCTCTTGGATTTTGAATTTCAAAGTTCGATTCAAGTTTTTTTGTAATTTTTCAATTTTCATTTTCATGTTTGGAGTTTAATTTCTTTGATAAACTTACGCAGGTCGTAAAGAAGAGGCGATCGAGGATCTACCTGAGCTCCGATAACCGGAAAATATCATCCTTCAGGTCATTGATCTCATCGAATATTGCAAAGGATGAGACGACGTCGTGCTTGTCGAGCAGCTCATCCAGCGGCATCTCAAGCGCGCGAAGCCAACGTAAACCGGCCAAAGCTGAGAAAATACAAAGGAAGAGGCACAGCGGCGGCTCGAATCACATGTGCCGCCGAGCGGAAGCCATTTTGAAATTGCTCTCCGGTGGTTGCTTCTCTGAGGTTAACATTCGTCGAGTGCTTGGCGACAGTCCGGACACTAGCAAAGCCCTTCGAATGTACAGTCACTCTCCTTTTCTATTCTTTGATACGTGTCACCATAGTATCTCACCCACGTGTCCATTTCTATAAGTTCGTAGGGTGCACAGATGATCAATGCAACCAAGTTGTATGATTGAACGGCTGGAAATGCATCTAGAAAACTTATTCAATGGATCCACTTGGCAAAATTTTGTCATTGATCATAAAGCTTTGACGAGTTAAGGGTGGAAGATATGCTAATAGAAAAATGATTTGTCTGCAGGTTGCTAAGGCAGGAAGAAGTGAAGAGATCAGGAACAGGAGGGCAAAAAGATCCTTATATTTACACGGTAACTATTTATTAACTCTTAAAAAAAAACCTATTTATTAACTCTGATATGCTTTGAAAAATGTATAATTTTATATTTAGTAGTGGCTTAGCGATTAGTTATCTAATATAATGAAAATAAATAAGGGTAAAGTACATAAATAGTCCCATGATTATAGGATATTATTTTATTAAGTCATCCGATAATTAAAAGTTACAAAATGATCCTCCGACTATAGGGAGTTGCTTTGTTGAGTCCCTTAACTATTAAAAGTTACAAAACGGGCCACTTGAGACTATTCATTATGTTCCAAATCCTTCATTTTCCGTTAAAAATTTGACAGTGATCTGAGTTGTACGTTAACCTGCTAACTGAGATATGACAAAATATTATCTCATAATCTCAAACAACTATTATATCCCAGTTAGCATGTTAACGTCAAACTCAGATTATCGTTTATTTTTTAACGTAAAAAGACGAATTTGGAACATAATGAATAGTCAAGTGATCATTTTATAACTTTTAATAGTCGAGAGACTCTGCAAAGCAACTCCTATAGTTGAGGGAACATTTTGTAATTTTTAATAGTTAAGGGACTCAATAAATAAATACATAAAAATGAATTAAAATTATATAACTTTACCTCTTCTCCATATTTCAATACCAAACCAGTTCTAAAAATAGTAAATATATGTGACATAACTCTTAAATTAAATTGATACAACCTCATATTCATCTTATTATTATATGCACCATGTATATACTAATTATAAGAAATTTGGTTTCTGGTATGGCACACGTTGTTCATTGCAGATTGCATGAGAACAGCTTCTAGGACTGTAGCTAGGATTACGTGGCATTTGTAGACCGGTCAACAAATAATTCCACCAGCTATCCGGGTAAAATTTTGGTCGAACCGATAGGTAAGAACCATAACAAGAGCGTCACATTAAAAGGTATTGATATATTAATTACTAAATATTGTCGTATATATTAGTATAGAGCTAGCTAACTCTTTTCTTAATTTTGTTTTGGACATTAATGCAAGGTGTAAACGGTAAATATGGACGTATGCATATGATATTAGTAACCATTCAGGATATACACTTATATATATATATATATATATATCAAACTCGTAACCTTAATGGTTAAAGATAAATTATTCTAAGTTTGAATAAGTATATTTGTAGAAAAATGTATATGTTATCCATAAATATTATCTTATAATCATCATAGACTATTTAAAGAAAATCATATACAAAAAATTTATTAAAATAGAAATATGAACAGTTTGATTAGGCTCCTTCACTTAATAAAATACATATTTTATGATTATATTTGATTTTGAGTTAAATTATTTAAATTTATTTTTATTTAAAATATTTTTTTGGTGAAAGGTATGACTCCATTAAGAAATGATCATACACAGGGAAATATTAGTATAGGTCTCATCAAAAACCTTCCAAATTTAAACGGGAAAAAGAGTATCCATTCTAATATCAGTTCAAACATAAAACATAGTCAACAACACATTAATCATTATGGAGAACTTAGATAGAATTTTTAGAAAGTTGGATACTTGCGGCGTTTAGAAAGCTACATTCTACGTAACCCCGGAATTTCGTGCTCGAAAACTTAACTCTATAAATACTTCTAGAGGATCAACATCCAGCAGCATTTAGAAAGTTATCATATGGAGTCGAGTCTGGTAGACAGAAGAATGGGGAATGATTATGGTACACAGTTGCACACGGCATCGGAAGAGGGTCGATCAGTTGTTTGAACGGATCGGTACTGTTGATTTGCCCGAGGACCAGTTCCGACTGCATTTTAAGTTTGGTTGTGAACGTTAGATTCTTTTTAGAGCGATTCGTGTTCTTAGGGTCTCAAAACACGTACTATTCTTGCGTGGAAAGCAACACAATTTCGAAGTAATGAGGCATGTGCGTGGTGTATATGACATGTTTACCTGTATTGCCATGTTATCTGGATGTTGAAAAGAGAAGCTAATCGAGCTTTCTTGTCTCGGTTGGGTACTCATCAAAGGAGACATCTTTTGCTGCTTCCCCGTCACCGGTGTCTCTCAATGACGGGCTATTTCTTTGTAAGACATGTCCAGACCGGTGGAGCTTGGACTTCTTCCGAACTGATATGCCTAGGGATGGGCATCTAACCCGAACCCGACGGGTTCCGACCCGACCCGATCGGATCGGGTCGGATTTTTCTTTAAAAAAATCTGGTTCGGGTCGGGTTTTTTTAATGTGGTGTTCGGGTTGGGTCGGGTTCGGGTTTAGGGTGAAAAAAATCTGACCCGACCCGACCCGGAAAAAATATATAATTTTACCCTATATATTTAAGAATAATTACAATAATACTCCTCCATATATTTTTTTTCAATTTAGTCACTGTTTTTATAGAATAAAAATAAATTTTTTTATTATTTCGGGTCGGGTTTTTTAAACTATCTATTTGGTCGGGTGAAAAATTAATTTCGTCGGATCAGGTCACGGGTGGAGGTCCCCTTCTTCTCGGGTCGGGTCGGATGGACCAAAAACCCGACCCAACCCGACCCCATCCCTAGATATGCCGCCTCCAATAGCTGTGCAGATAAAGAAAATTGAATGTCATAGTGGACATACCGATGCCAGGAGTTGATTGACACCCTCAAGTCTTGGAATTTCTCCAGAAAACTCCGAACTATCCTTGACTTGACCTTCAAATGGTTCCAGAAAAGTATCGTCCTCTTCTTCGTCGTCATCATCATCTATTGACAAAATTGAAGCTCCCTGCCGAAGAAATCGCTTGAGTTCGAAGCATTGGAAGATAAAATTTAGAAGGTGATGCAAGGATATTTACCTCAATAGACTTATTCTCTCCTGTTCCAGCTTTATATACTCTATGCTGAGCATCCATAGGCAACTGAGCACCAAGTGGACACACATTGTCGGGCGAGAATTCGCTCAGCAGCTGCGCCCGTATAACGGACAATTCAGGCTGCCATATAATTCACCAAACATTATAGTAAGGTAATTACAACACAAAATAGTAGTTCTTTGATGATGCATTGGGGTGAAAGATTGTCAAAATTTGGGATAAAATGTTTTACCTCCAACAAATCTCCCAAGCTTTTCATGATTTCAGAGGCAAGAATTTCCCTACTTTGTTCCGGGGTTATCTGAATTTCCGAGAGAGTTTTTAAAGCGAAAGTATCATCTTCTTTAGATCCATAAACATTAGTCGGCTAGTCGGGGATGGTGTTAACCAACCGTAGCTTTCGGTCGTCCACCAATCGCAAAAATGGATCAGCCTATGAATCATAGAACCATGACATCACAAGATATCTTGTTTTTACACAGAAAAGATAGAATCTTCAACCGCATTCCAGAAGGAAAAGCAAGCACGGTTTATCTTAGTTTAGGGAATGTTGTTTAGTACCATTTTGCATTGAAGGGGTCTTCAATTATCAACCCATAGATTGTTTCAGTTGTCTTGGAAAACTATGGAGTCCCAAAGAAAAATGTAGAGGACCTTAATGGTGGCCAAACTCGATGGGTGCATGAAGTGCAAAGAACGGAGAGTCGTGTCACTCAGTCGCGAAAAGTTCTCAAAAAAGTTCCTTCATGGCGGAGAATCGTAAACGATAAGGGCATTATATATGTGTCCTATTACAGCGTTTATATAAAAACACCACTAATGTATGAGTATTTAATGGTGTTTGTATAAAAACGCCACTAAAGTACGAGTCTTTAACGGCGTTTGTATACAAACGCCACTAAAGTACGAATCTTTAGCGGTATTTTTGCTTAAAACGCCGTGATATGCATAAAATTAATGGAGTTTCTATCAAAACGCCGCGAAATTTGTTATTTTGTGGTGTTTGTTTTAAAAACGCCACGATAACAATAAAGTTACCAACGTTTATTAAAAAAATGCCGCTATAAACCCACTTTGTTGTAGTGCTCATTGATTAAAGGATGTTGTTTGTCTCGAGTTCAAGCAGTTGTGTCTGTAAAATATATGTGCATTGTTATTGACTAAAAAAAATTTGAATTTTAGGAAGAAGATAGGTTTTAGTTATTAAGCAACATTTGGGAATCAAATCTGGTACAGGCATAATAAATGTCTTTATTCTTTTTTCTTACATCAAAAAGGGAAAAAGAACAAGACACATTACTTGATTGTTTTGTCAAATTGTATTCGGCCAAAATAAGGTAGTATGGTACAAAATATTCGGTTTGAATATCTAACTGCCATTTGCCCATACCATGAAGTTCTTGGCAACTTTGAATTGCACAACAACAAAGTCCAATTCTTTGATCTCAATTTGATGGGCACTCACCAAGAATACCTAATTTATTATCATATTCATGTCATAAATTTATTTATATGATTTATATTTTCAATTTTTTTCAGTATAATCATATATACATAATTTTGGATAAATTACGCGTTTAGTATATAAACTATCAGTTTTGGTCCGTTTTAGTACTTAAACTTTCAATTTTTTCAAAACCCTGCCTAAAGTTTTTTTTTTGCTCAGCAAGATAATTTTATTAAAATAGCAATTACATAGACCGTAAGCCTTATTAAAAACCTCCCTAAGCCTAAATGGATGAAAAGAGAATTCACAACTAGGAAAAATAGAATTCACGAACGAAAATGGGGCAAAAATTTAACGTGTTTAATACCTAAACTATCAGTTTTAATCCGTTTTAATACCTAAAATTTCATATTTTTTTTTCAAAACTTAATGTTAAATTTTAAACGAGTGTACTAAAATGGAACAAAAACTAAACTTTAGGATTTTGAAAAAACTAAAAGTTCAGGTAATAAAACGAACCAAAATTGATAGTTTGGATATTAAACGTATAATTTACCATATGTTGACCAATTAATTTATATTTGATATTGCATAGATATATTCTGAAAGTGATTCTTTCAACTCAATCTTCCTCATTCATAATGTCAAGATCTAAACTAATAGACCAATTAATAGTTGATAATTTATTTTCAGTTAATACACATACTTATTTGCAAATTAATAGTTCGATTAATCATCATAATTAGTGATTCTTCGTTTAATTTCAAAAAGATTAAATTGTTATCCATATCTACATATATATATTTCTTTCAAATCAATCTTCTGGTTCATAATGTTAAAATTCAAACTAATAAACCAATTAATAGTATAATTTATTTACAAGTAATACACACAGTCATTTACATTAATAATTGGGTAAATTACATGTTTAATACCCAAATTGATGCAAGCACGTTTTCACATACAAAGGGAGTATTCTTGAACATTTCTATGTTATATTTATTTTATATTAGTTTGATCATATATGCTATTATAATACATATCATGTTAAGGTTACTAGTTATGTAGCTAACAGATAACTTAGCATGTACACATCTTTACAATTGAAACACATTGATATTTAAGTATGTTTAGCATATTAGAATAATATTGCATTCATATTAAGCATGATTCATTACATTTATGAAATGGCAGCATGTGTATCATTCATTTATTAGCTCATATGCATTCATTTTAGCTCCTAGACCTTATATATTAGCTTACATATCTTATATGATGATATACTTAGCTTATGTCATGCATTCATAGCTCACAAGACCATGATCATGCACGACATCAAGGTAATTAGCTCATACAAGCTCATTGTCATTGAATTACCTTGTTTTCCTTGCACATGTAGGTTCATTAGAGCATGGAACACATTGGGATAGCTTGGTAAAGTATTTGGAAGCCATATGCAGCTCACAATCAGCTTACAAACATCATGGCAGCTCATGGAACAATAAGGAAAGCTCAACTCAGCTGGAGGAGCTCAAGGCTAGCTAATCTTAGCTAGTTGGACTATTTGAAGATAGGTTGCAAAAGGTGACATCAATTGTAGTTGAATGTGATGCTATGAAGCTTGGGAGGCCACGACTAAGGAGTTCGTTCACCACCAGCATTAACATTGTTAGCTAGCTAAGCACATGCAAGCTTGAAGGTAGCTCAAGTCACGCCCAAGGCTACTGCCCATGCTTGGCCTTCATCCTATGCATAAAGTTGCACCACAAGCATCCTAGAGAGCCATGTGCATGCCTTGTGATCAGCCAAGCCATGTGCTATGCGTGTGACCCCATTTAGGCACCAAGATGAATGGTCACCTATCCATTCGGCCAAGCATCATTTCTCCTCTAATTTGGCGCCAACTTGAAGGGTTTCAAGTGCTATTCGACCATGATACATGCCCCTCCATTCCAACCGAACCAACACCTTTTTATTCAAGTTATTTATTAATTAATTTATGTCATTATAGGGAGACACAAGGGCTGGCCAAACCATTATGTACCTATTCAACCAAGTCCCTTCAAAAACTATAAATAGGCTAGTACTATTTCATTTGTACACACCTTTCTTATAAATTAAAAGTGAGATTATTATCTTTGCTTAAGTCCTTGTGACTTTTATCGACTTATCAAGTAATTTATTACTTGTGGCGTCAATCCCTTTCCCTTGATACATGTGGTTCCTATCTCTATATAGATAGTGGGTCCAAGTCCTTGTTACCACCCCCCTTAGAAAGGATTTGTAAGGTTGAGTCTTTGTTCTCTATAGCATTGGTTCTTCCTTGGTCATTTCTAAGATACTATCCTCACAACCTTCCATTGTTTCTTCACCCAAACCATAACCATAACAACATACTTCCGCTATCATTTCTCATATCATAAATAGCCTACCATTTCACCTTTACAATTACCACCCAAACCATCTATTTGAGCCATTTACTTATGCAGGTTGTTTTGCTTCCTTTCTAGATCCACAATCAATCAACAAGGTAGAAATACCTTACATCACAAATTATCAGTTTTTGTCTATTTTAGTACTTAAACTTTCAATCTTTTTTAAAATCATACATAAACTTTAGTTTTTGTTTCATTTTAGTACCCCAATTCAAAATTTAACGTTAATTTTTGAAAAAAAAATGAAAGTTTAGGTACTAAAACGGACCAAAACCGATAGTTTATAGGTAGTAAACGCTTAAGTTTTTAACGATGTGGTATTAAAATGAAACAAAAACTAAACGTTAGGTATGGTTTTGAAAAAATTAAAAGTTTAGGTACTAAAACGGACCAAAACTGATAATTTAGGTACTAAATTCCTAGTTTACACTTAATAATTAGATTAATCATCATAATTGATGAGTCTCCATTTAATTCAAAAGGATTAAACCATTATCCATATCCACAATCATTATCTCTTTCATAGTTAATCAACAGTGCTAAAATTATAAAACAAACGAGTTTATGCCAAGAAGAAGATGAAGTTCTTGTTTTCTGTTATAAGTAACATAATTGGGAAGCATTTCTGGTGGCAACACATCTTCCTTGCAACCTTAAATTCATGACAACACATCTCGTTATGCTTTTCTTTTTCTTACATCGAAAGGGGAAAAGGAACAAGAAGCATTACTTGATCGTTTTTGTCAAATTGTTTTCGACCAAAATTTGGTAGTATGGTTACAAAGTATTCAATTGCAACATAAAATGTGGCATTTGCCCATGTCATTAAGTTATTGGCAACTTGAATAAGATTTTAACCAAGTCTTTGAGGAAAAAAAATGATAAATCTGTCGAGAATATAATGTACGTAATATTTGTTCAAAGATTTTTAATTATTTGAAAATAAACATTCATATCTCAAAATACGCGATGATTAAATCGGAGACTTCGAGAGATAACAACAAATCTATTAACCAATGAGGTCACTTGGTTAGTGAAAGAATATATAATTTAGTATAACATTGTCGGATTAAAATGCATAATTAAGAACAAATATGTGTAATATTATCATAAAATATGACATAAAATTGAATGACTAATTATGTTACACATCTCATAAAGTACTAAGAAGTATCATAGAAATAAAAATGTAGATACCATTAAAATCATATTTATAATTTGATGCGGGACGGAGTTATAAATACATACGATAACTGATTCTTAATTCAGTTTAAAGAAGTAGTGGTCCCTAAGAAATATGTCAACTTATATTTTCTCATATCCCGTCACAGAGTTTATACTCAAGAGAAATCTATCTTCTTGAAAGATCTCAATCTTCAAGGTAATCTTCAAATCTCAATCTTCTAGATAATCTCCAATATTGGTTTCAAATATGCTTCCGAAAATTTAGTATTTTTATTTTTGATAATTTGACATGATTCGGTCTTGAATTTTGTTTCATATTTATTATGTTTTTGTTTTAAAAACATAACTTAAGGGTATAATCTTTCAAAATGTTCATATAAAGGTCCAGTGTTTTTAAATCTACTCAAATAAAGATATAATTTTTCAAACATGACAAATGAGGGTGGACTTACCAAAAACCAATTTGATTAATGGGTTATTTAGTAATTGTAAATATATGATGGTTTTTTTGTCCCATTAGGATAGGCGAAAAAATTAATTGGCTCAATAGACCAATTCTAAATTTATTTTATAATCTACGTCAGATGTTACCGTGCAAGACAAATTTGTCACGTCGAACATGACGAGTTTACGCATATAATATTTTTTTATTCAAACTCATTATATAGACGTGACGAATTTCAATAAAATATAATTTTTTTATCAGGATTTATCTCATCAGTTTGAAAATTTTGAATAAAAAAATTGATGTGACGAGTTCTAAATGACTATAATAAGTATCGTAAATCCCTAAACAATTTACTTCGTGTCTAAATAATTAACCCGCCTACAATGCTAGGCCAATTTTACCTTATATGACTTATGGTCTTATTTATTCAGCCCAACGTCAAAAAGGAATTAGATATTTGATCTCTTGGTAAATTTGGTAGAATAATCCAAGCTTCAAAATTATTTTGGCATATGTTGTGAGTGAAAATTATTTAGACATATATATTTAATTAGGAACTCGTCATGTATGCATAATTAATTTTATAAAACATGATTTTTATTAAAATATATTATGTGGACACAACCCGTTTCAACAAACAATGGCTATCCCTTTTTCCCATATGTATGGGGTAAGGAGAGGTAAGATAGTAGGCTACCCCCAACACCAGGTTGAGAGCAGCTTCCGTAAGAGACCTCCGAATTATGAAATGCCCTCCATGGGACTCGATCCCACGACCTCAAGGTTAAGAACCTTGTGCTCTACCAACCGAATGTAAACTCTTATTCTCTAGGTTTGAGGGGCTATAATTCACACAGTTTGTTGGTTTATGGCTTGGGGAGCTTTGCTTCCCATAAGTGTTGGTTTGCGGCTTGTATTGTTAGAGTCGGTTCGGATCTGTTTTATGCAGCTTAATATAAAGTTAAGAAAAATTGTTATCGAAAATATTAATATTTTTTTAATATTTTCGATAAAGTACTACATAAAATATTATTATTTTTATCGAAAATATTAATATTAGCACTACCTAAAATGTTATTTTTTTTACCGGAAATGTTAATATAAGAAATACACTTTAGATAACGAAATTAACATTTCCGATATAAAAAATAATATTTTAGATAACGATCTATAAAAAATATTAAAAAAAATATTAATATTTTCGATAACGTTTTTTAGTATTTTATTATTATCCGGCATAGCAGAACTACCCGAAAAGAAAATCATACTTCCTAAGACAGTGACTAAAGCACAAATTTTGAGACAGACAGCGCAAATTACGTCTCTTAAAGTACCCAAAACAAAACATAAAATCAATTGCTTTCTCCACTAATAAGGTTTTCTCTAAAGAAACCAAATAATTGACTCATTAAATAGTAAAAAAAAATAATATCCTCTTTTGAACTCCTGAATTCGAATAATTGAATCTGTAATGTATACGCGCATTATAATTGGTTTTAAAAAATTATAAATATGTATATATATTCTATCAATTTGAAATATTAAATTTATTTAATTAAATTAAAATTATGACCAAATTTCTTTAAAACTAACATCAAATTGATAGAATATATAAGTTATAGAGATTAAATATTTTAATTATCTCGTCACATCATTCATTAATTGTTAAAGACCGATAACTTAATTAATACTATTTAAATAATTAAGTTATTTGATTGATAAAATTAAAATATCGATGATCAGATTAGAATTCCCGTAACTAAATAATCACGAGTGTAATAAAATCCTATATATATTATAAACTCCAAAAGCAAAATAGTAAACTGGGAAGACATATTTCAAGGATTGCCAAAATCTTTGAAAGTATGTAATATATGTTAATAATACAAAATTTTCGTATGAAATGAGCAAAATAAAATTTTAAGATTGACACCGATAAAATAAAATAAAATAAAAGTTAATTGACCCTATTTCCATATGTAATGAGATAAGGGAGAGATATGATAGTAGGCTGTCCCCAACGTTAGGTTGAGAACAACTTTCGTAGAAGGCCTCCGACAATTATGAATTGCCCACCGTAAGACTTGATCCCACGACCACAAGGCTAAGAGTCTTGCGCTCTACCAACTGAGCTGGACGGGCAATTTAAATATCGAGACGCACCACCAATTATTGTAAATCGATAAAAAATGATAATACATAGTTAAAATATCCGTAATTAAGCTTAAACAACTGCAATAATGGCCACTAAACAAAAGCACCAAACCAGACAAAAAGAAGCATTGATATTTCAACTGTACAACACCAAAATAAGTGGTTCCACCCTCACCACCTTTCACCATTAACAAAACCTCAAATATCTCACCACACTTCATGCGCTCAATCATGATCCAAAACATACACACATACATGATGCAATGTATATATGATTAGGTGCAACTCTTGATTGCATGCCCTCTGATATAGGGTACCCAACAGTTGAAAAGATGAAGGTAGACTCTCTTAAAGAAGCAATTAAAGTACACATGTATGTAATACTGGATAATGTAAGGGTCTCAAAAGAAGGAGCGTTTTATGGGTGGTCGCCCTACAGCTCTCATCAAATTGGCAATTTCAAGAACCCTTGCGACCTTTGTCCCTCTCTTTGCCTCAGCTGACGCCCTCCTCTCTTCTGCTTTCCTGTGTGCTTTTGCGACGTCGTTTTGCATCTTTTCTAGGGCTTTTGCTCTTTTCTCCTCTAGCTTCCTCTAGATACACACATACACCATATTAATGTTTTTATGTAAATTTGATTTGACTCGATTTGATTTATGATACCAATGATAACTCATAATTTAGTTACATATATATATATATATATATATATATATATATATATATATATATCTAACTTAAAGTTTTTCGAACATGATTAGAAATGATCAAATTATTCGAATATGAAGAGTTTTAACTTAACTCAATTATATAAGGTTACTTTTCTTTTAAATTCATGTTTAAGTTTTGTAAATAATAGAGTAGGTATCATACGAAATCGAGTGAAAGATATTAATTCTAATATCAAAATTGAGACGACTGAAAAATCGGACACATACTATGTTCATCCCTACCCATGACATTATTAGACACTAACTATATAGTTCATAATTTAAGGTATATATAAATCATCATATTCCTCTGTCAAAAGAATCATCATATTCCACTAATAACATAAAGAAAACAAATCACATAATGAAGAATTTGACTTAAAATCAAGAACAAATCATCATCATTACATGAAGATAATTTAGTTATTAAACTACCATGAAAGTTTCCTAGACACTTGAATCACCAATTAAATAATCAATGATTTAACTAATTTAGGGTTATGGAGTACATCAAATCATTAGCCCATAATTAAACCATTTGAGCAAAGCACAGAAAGGAGAACGAAAGAAAAAAAAAAGATTTTCTCACCATCCAAACATACCTCAACTTTCTTCATCCAAGTAGTAGCCTTTTGGACTTGTTCACTTTCCCACCCATTGATCACAGCATCCTCCCTCTTAAACCTGTTATTAATCTTTGCAACCTTAGCGTTTTGCCAAGCACATATTTTCGACTCCACCTCCTCTTTCCTCACTCTCAGCACCGAAACCTCGCCGTGGCTGCCGCCGCCGCCACTCCCCACCGTCACGGTATGCGACGGCTCTCCTGACCCGACCCGTCCTTGCTGATCCAAACCCTGATCGGAGTAGGTATTACCCGGCACTATAGCTAGAGGATTAGTTTCCTCTTGCAGTTCATGGTCCTCTCCGATCCTAGTCAAGTGATTATTATGATCGTTCAAAGTATGTATGGAATCCGAATCATTGTTTTCCATGGAGGAACCAGCAAGGACTAGAGCGTTAAACTCTCGACTCATGGTGGTGAAGTTCTCGCTCAAGGCGGCTTCGCTCGACGACGAGGCGCGGCTGGAGGTGTCCCAACGGCGGCGGTTTACGTTCGGAGGATGAGGCGGGGTCAAAGCATGGATGTCCCTGATGTGTTCATCGTCGTGTCCGTGGTGATGATCGTCGAGGTTTCGGTCGTTTTCGCCATTGTTGATGGCACTTTGAAGGGTTAACATAGTAGGTTTGGTTTTAGCTAGGAAGGAGGAGGAGAATTGTGAGAGATTCTGACATGATCTTTTGTAGCTATTACAGCTTTGCTTGAGGCTTTTGACTTGTGTTTTGAAAGAAACATGAGGCACTAAATCATTGAGGCTTCAAGAATAATCATCCCCCACATGGGGAATAGCTAGGGTTGGCAATTTAACCTTAAACTAACGGGATCGAATTTCATAAAAAAAAAGTTGAGTTCGAGTAGGATCGGATCGGATTTTTAAGGGGATGAGGTCAGAGGATTTGAGTGGAGGATAAAAAACTTCAACCTGACCCGACTTAGGGATAATAATGTAATTTCCTTAAAATTTTATTATTTTTTACTTAAGTTCTTACTTTATACCGGAACGGGTCGAATTTATACTTTAAAAATTCAAGTCAAATCGGAGTCGAGTGGATAATATATATTTTTCAGATCAAATCAAGTTGGGTGAATGATATATAATTCTCTGGTTGGATCAGGTTTGGGAGGACGATACATATTTTCGGGTCGGGTCAACCAAAAATCCAACCCGACTCGTTATCCTCCCTAGAAATATCACTCCAAGTAAATCCTATTGAAAAAATAGTTTAGAGATTTGAATTCTAAAATTGTGAATACAATAATTTTCATCTAATAATCTTGAACGATTACAAAGTGATATCAGTTTAGAATATTTCTTAATTATTAAGATATACGTTATAAACACAACTGTTTAAACATAAGCACTCTAAGGGTGTGTTTGGTTCACGGAATGTAAGATTACAGTGGGAATAAAAGATTACCAGATAATAGGATTATTGAGAATGTTGTATTTTGTGTTTGGTTGGTTTAGCAGGAATGTAAGATTACCGTCTTTGGTTAAAGGAATAAAATATTATTGGAATTTATATTTGACCAAATTGTCCTTATTATATATTTGTTTTGTTAATAAGTTAAATTCTACTATAATATTACTATAATTAATTTTTATATTTTCTTTAAAAAATTTAAATTCATAAAATGTATATAATTTTTTTTACAAAATTGAAAAGATAAATAGGTCTAATGAAAGTGTAAAATTTTATTTTAACCCCTGAACTTCATTTAAAATTTTAATTATAGATTTTTTTTGTAAATCTAAAATAGTATAAGGATAAATTTTTAATTTAACATTCGTAGAATTTTTATTATTCAACGACAGAAGAATGATATTTTTGAAAGAAAAAAATTTAAGGGCATTTTAGTCCAAAACGACGGTAATCCAACAATACCTAAGGGAAGAAGATAATTACATTCTCGATAATATATCCAAAAAAATCCACTGTTAGTAATAAAATATTACCGATAATAACATTTTCAACCAACGAAACGAGAAAATGTGAATTACATTCCCGAAGAATCTCACATTCCCCAACCAAACTGCCCTTAAAAAAATATCATTTCTTTTTTATGATTGATACACTTTTAGACTATGTAAGGCGAAGATACGTCCTGTCAGGAGTAACGCGGACCTTTTCTCTTCAACCAATTAAAATTAAGATTTTTGACACGTGTTTTGTCGTACGTAGTAGAAGATAATATAATTTTTAAATATTGATGGCTAAGTATTATTTTCGTAATAAAATTTTAAAATAGATTTTATTCAAATAAATTAGACATAAAAGTAGTTTTGGGTTTTCTTTTATTTATTCTTTTAACTTTAAATTAATGCTTTGAACCCAGTATTATCATTGACAATAAGGGGGTGTTTGGATGGGATAATGTGAGATTCTCATGGGAATGAAATCAACATTCTTCCGTTTGGTTAGTCCGGGAATCCTATTCCCGGTAATGTAAGATTACTAATAGTAGATTTTTTGGGATATATTACCGGGAATGTCATTACCTCCCTTTCTTTAAGTATTGTTGGATTACCGGCGTTTTGGACTAAAATGCCCTTAAAATTTTATTTTTTTTCAAAAATATATTTCTTCTGTCATTGAATAATAAAAATTCTACGAAGGTTAAATTACAAATTTATCCTTAAATTATTTTAGATTTATAAAAAAATCTATAATTAAAATTTTATATGAAGTTCAAGGGTTAAAATAAAATTTTACCCTTTCATTAATTTTTTTTTATTTGTACTTTTGTAAAAAAATATATAAATATTATGAATTTAATTTTTTTAAAGAAAATATATAAATATTTTCTAACTTGTAATATTATACAAATATATAATAAGGACAATTTGGTCAAATATACATTCCAATAATCTTTTATTCCTTTAACCAAACACGGTAATCTTACATTCCTGCTAAGCCAACCAAACACAAAATACAACATTCTCAGTAATCCTATTCCCTGGTAATCTTACATTCCCACTGGTAATCTTACATTCCGTGAACCAAACGCACCCTAAAAGGCTTTGATGTTGTAAGTTTACTAGTTTAGTGTAAATTAAATTAATTAATTATTAGGTGATTATAATAGTTGATTTTAATATATTTAAAATTTAATTCAAGTTTATTATGATGAATTGTCTCAATTGGAGTATAATTAATTAATTAATTAATATATATTTTAATATTTTTTGATAAATTTGAGATAAATGTAATATAGTATCTGTTTAAAATCTTTTTCAAACAATTGACAATGAATGCTCATATCTTTGTTGGTGCTCGAACTCAAGATCTTTAAGAATAATAATAAGTCCTCCTAACTACTGAAGTTGCTTAATTCATGTGATATAATCCCTTCAAAAAATGTGACATGACATATCAAATTTTTCGTCTAATATTAACTACAAATGATTAACTGGCATCATTTAAACATTTAAATAATACGATTAATAAAATTTAAAAAGCGAATGATAAAATTATGATTACCCTATAATTTTTTTAACACTCTCAATCATTTGACAATGAACGTTTAATAACTTTATTACAGTTAATGGTGTTCGAACTCGTGATCTGTAAATATAATAAAGATTTCTTTAACCATTGAGATAAGTTGATTAGTACATAATCATCATATAATTAAGTGGTTATGATTGTATTTTATCATATTCTTTAACCATGCAGAGCCTGATTTATGTACACTTCAACATTAAAATTAATATTATTTAAAAAATATTATTAAACTATTATTGTGGTGGTAGAAGGAGTCAAGTAATATAATTTTAATAAAAAATAAATACAAAAAATAATAATTATATAATAAAAAGAAATGTAGGTTTTTTTACTATCAGTGTCGGCAAAAGGGGTTTGAAGAGAATCCCCATCAACAGTAGGTAAAGGCGTGTGGACCATTGAAAAAAATACACGCGCGCCACGCATAATAATCATTCTACAGTTGTGATTTCCACGTGTACGGTTCATCCCTTTTTTATTTTTTATAAAAATATATTTTTTAGGTTTTCATGATGCCCACGTGTCACGTGATAAAACTAATAAAATTTAAAATTTTTATTATCAAAATTAAAATAGGGTAAATTACAATTTTCACAATAGAATTTTACTCTCTCATATTTCACTCGTTATACTTTAAATCTTTTCAATTTTCTCAGTGAACTTAATACGTTAAGTTTTTTTTAGTTACTCAAATGTTTCCTTGCTAATAGCGTTATAAATGGGCTTTTATATAGATGCAAAACGACGTCGTTTTGGTGAAAATTTTATTTTTTTTAAAACGGTGTTGTTTTAGCACCGTTAACTATTTAACGACGGAGTGACAAGAAACCCTAATGTATTAATTTCAATGAGTAAATTGAAAACTTTAAAGATACGTGGGTAAAATAGGAGAGAAGTTAAAGTTTAGTGATGAAATTTGTAGTTTACTCTTAAGAACATCATATCTTTTTTAATATTTTTTAAAATATGTATTTTAAATATTGTTTTTTATAATAATAAATATTCAATTTATGAATAGATTCTTTTAGATTAAATATTATTGTATATCTATTATAGGTCAAAATTTTCAATAATTCGATCTATTTTATCTATAATGATAAGATCTAAATTATGATTTTATTTAAATAATTCAACGTCGCATTATATTAAATCAATTAATAGATAATGTTTTTTTAAAATATTGATAATAAATAGATGAAATAGTTTCTTTTATTATAATAATGATAAATAAATCATTCAAATTTAAGATAATATTTCTTTCAAACCTAATCCAATTATAGTGACAAATAGGAGCTTAATATAATTAACTTTTCTTTTTCTTTTTGAATTCGTGGGTCAATTTCGTGGTTGATTCATGTGATAAGCAGTTTTATATCGCTTAAGTAGGTCTCAAGTTCGAGTCATTGTGAATGCAGAAAATTCTCGTTAGGAGACTCACTCACCAAAGTCATGTGTGCAATACGGGTCGATCTGAATTAGTCAAGACGAAACCCTAACACCAACTTTATCGTTTAGCCACTTTAGTCTTTAAACTTTTAATATGTTCCATTTGGCCTTTCGGTTTCTGTTTTTATCAAGTATGGTGAAACAATAGCAACATATTTATACTAACGTCAATTATTTTTATTTGAGGCCTAGAAAGAACACAAAGTTTAAAGATCAAAATGGTTAAACTAATAAAGTTAAGGGACCAAAAAGTAATTCTATCTTTATTAAATTAAGAAACAATAAACTAACAAACAAGTCATATCAATGCCATTAACCAACACACTAACATAATTAAACTAAACTCATATCTAAAGAGGTTTGCACATGAAACTAAAGCTTTACAAAACTTCTACCTAATTCACTTGAATAAGAAATTTATTTATATATCCCTTAATTTAAGCATATATTTAGTGACAATTAAAAAGATTATAGTGGGCATTATAATGTATAGCATCATAATTTCTTTTAAATGTCAAATAGGTTGTTAGCAAGGTTTGAACTTTAATTTTTAATAAGGTGTCAAGGAATATTTTTAGGGTAACGTACATAAATGGTCCATCGACTATAGGGTATTCCTTTATTAAGTCACTCGATTGTTAAAAGTCACAAACTGATCACCTGACTATATAGTGTTACTTTGTTGAGTCCCTAGACCATTAAAAGTTACAAAATGGCCACCCAATTATTTAGTATGTTCCAAACTCCTCCTTTTTTCCGTTAAAAAATTGATGGTATTATGTGATAAACGTTAACTTGATGACTGTGATATGATAAAATATGATCCTGGAA